ATATTATATATATATATATATATATATATATATATTGAATGGATATGATCGAGAACTTGCAAAATATGCAAATTGCCAATTAATTTTTTGATTTGAATGAATATTCATAGAAATTCGCAATCGAAAATTTCTAGAGAATGATATGCATTTTAAAAAGTTTTTGAAAGAATGCTTATTTTTAATAAATAAAATAAATCTTTCTAGGTTAGGCTTATAGATGGAAAGATTAAAATAAAAAAGAAATCTTGGCTTCTTGATTGAATACGAAAGAAATTAAAACTAAAATCTGGATATTATTTTCTTCAGTATTTTCGCATTGTTAATTTTATGATACATTTTTTTTTAACATATCCTAAGCTTTATTATAATCAATTACGAAATAGTAAATTATGATACTGATAAAAAAACTTGTAAAGATATGTAAGAACAAAATGCAGAATTTTATGTAGAATGAAATTCTCGTGGTTCTACCTTTTAAAAAGGTAAAATTTCTATATTATTCATAAAACAAAAAAAAAAAAACATACTTCAGGACCGCCTATGGCTTCTTCTAATATTTTACATTCTTCGGTAGTGCTGGAATCCATCCACACAGGTGATCGTGTGACCGAAAAAGCGACTATTAATTGTATGGATAAGAATTGCGCAGGATCCAATTGCTGCAAATATTTTTGACTGTCCTTGCTCCAGTAAACTGTGCCATGTTGCTATGTCACAATAAATAAAGATAACATTATCGTTTGTATATGTTTTTACAACAGTAAAATGTTTATGAGAATTTATAAGAATTATATATTGCAAAATTTCATTTTTGAACAATTGAAAACATAAATGTTTGAATTATTGAATTTTTAATATGAAGCTTGAATTAAAATTTTATAATTTAACAATATCGAAGATATTACGAAAGTTTAATAAATAAACGATTTATTTGTGTCAAGCAAAGAAAAAATATTACATATAAGACTAATTAAATCTTGATTTTATGTTAATCGATTTTTTTTATAATCATTTATGTCAGTGATTCTTTTTGTTGCATCTAAAAATAACAAATTTACTCATCTATTAAGTCTTAAAATGATAATATATGAATATTTCATAAAGAATGAATATTAAATATATATATATTTTTTTAATTTATAGCTTTAATAATGTTACATCTTGTGGCAAAACTTAATTGACGTGAAAATAATTAGATCGACAGATTTACTACATGTATTATATAATTTATAAATCGTCATTTTAAAACATTTTTGTCTCAATGTTTGGATATTATTTTACCTGTGCGCATCCAGAAATGGCTGCCACTTTGCTAAAATCAACGCCACACACACGCAATTTATCAAGAATCATATCCAGAGCATTGATCCACATTACAACAGGAGCTACTACTACATTTGGCTCATCTTTTTTGTGAATGACGCCTCCATATGTTCTACAATCATCGAATTAATAATTAAAATAATTAAATGAAAAAGAAAGAGAATTGAATTTTTACAAAAAATGAAAGATTGACATGAAAATGAATAATTAATTTTATTAAAAATTATGTAATATATCAATGCTCTAATTCAAAAAAAATATGAAATGTTAAAACTAAAAATGTGTGAAAAAATATAATTAAAAAATATAATACATAAAAACATAATGAATGAAACATACCTAAATCCTGGCAAATCAGTATCGAATTGTACACTGGTTTCATGAAGAACAGCGAGATTGTTATCAACGACAACTGCTTTCAACTACAAATACCAAAAAATACTTGTTAATTGTTTTTTTCTTTTTTTTTTATATTTATTTTCATACTGTTTTTCGATTTCTTATCTTTGGTATCAAAACTATCAAATAAGTCACGTGTAACACTATGTGAGAATAATAAGATTAGAAAATATATCTCCTTACGACACGGTCAATTAGTTACGCTATGTTAGAACGTAATACGAAATTTATTGCGTATTCTGAAATTCAAAATTTGTTGTCTATCGAATGAATAAATATACGCATAATATTTAATATATACTTTTGATCATATAATCAAATGAAAAATCATTTAATTAAATAAAAAACGTTTGAATATAATATCACCTGTGAGTTTAAACATACATACAAAAATTGTGAAACATGTAAGATCAGGATAAAATTATGTGGTTAAATAAATATTATTATTATGAAAAGAGATTGTGAAATGAGATACAGCAAGAATTATAAATTAGGACACATATTACAGAAAAAAAATATCAAAAAAATTAAGAAGAAGAATTTTATAATTACAATATAAATCTTATAATAAAGTTAAATTCAAAAATTTTGAAAAGTTTTTATTTACAAATTTAATTAAAAATTTCTTCAAATAGGTAATTTAAATAAATAAATAAATTTTAATCGCTTTTAAATTTAAACAATAATTTATAATAAATATTATATAAAATCTTTTAATTTTAAAAAATGATATATAGCAAATAAAAATGATGTCTCATAGAATTAATTACAATATATCATTTATAATAGTATATCATTCATAATTCAGTTCTTTCTTCCTTTTTGAAGAATGACTAATATTGCATAAATAAAAATCGTATTCGTTGCGAATTGATCATAACGTCTAGGTATGATTAATGAATTTTCAAGCAATAGTATTTTGCTGAGACGCTTTAGAATTTCAATTATCATTTCGTTCCTAATGTTCCGCGTTTTTCATTGCAAACAGAGAGATACACTTTTCTTTCGCCCGTATCGTTCCAATGCTTAATGTTATCATTACGTTAGATAATAGTGACCCATTGGACGAGCATCATGCTATGAACTGCTTATATATTAATCAACGAAGACGAATTTTCATGTCACTTTGGTAAACTGATCATAATATTTTTCTAAATGTAAATATTTTAATATAAATTGTAAAAATATAATTCAATACATAAAATTATTTTTAAGTTAATTGTAACAATTTAAGTTGATTAATATTATCAATTATTGTTCTGAAAATATTCAGAATTTTAATTATTATATTTCTTATACAAAAAGAGTTACATAATTAATCTAATTATTATATAATTAGAAACTTGAAAATACGATTTCAAATATTTACCAATAAAAATAATGTAAAGTATTTTATAATAAATATTTCAAATTTAAAAAACTAAAATAGATTAGACATTTGAATTCGATATTATAAAATCAGAGTTTGACTTAAAAAAATTATGATTCATATTATGATTTTTTAAAATACCATAAAAAATGAGATAATTAGTACTGAGAATGTATGTTTTATTTAATTCGATTCTTATTGGATATTTTTAATTATTATATCCTTATATTTCTTCCTTTCATTAAATCTATTAATTATACTTATGAAAAATAACTATTCATTATTAATTTATGTACGTAATTAATTTATTATTTTCTTCTAATATGACATTTTTATAAATATCTAATTTTTATAGATTTAAAGAAAACGCGCGTTAACATGAGCATGCGCAATAGATGATGCGCATAGAAAGCCAGTAAGTGAGCGTCGTTACGTGAGCATGAAAAAATAAATTATACTTCAAAGTAACAAATGTCGATTTGTGATTTATTATATAATTATAGTGACTGTTTTTGCGTGAAAAAGAATATATAAAATCGAGAGCAAATAGTAAAAGGAAGAAAAGATAAAAAAATTAACCTTAATTAACAAGATTGTCATTTGTGTTTCGTGTCGACAAGTACTTTCATATGGTGAGAAAACATGTCATTCGTCGATAAGTATACAATCTTAGCAGATGTTCATCGTATGATAAAAAACATGCTGTGAATTATGCAATTTTTTAAGAGTTTACCTGTTGTGTACTGAGATCAAATCCTAAATATGTTGCGTTCGAAGTAGCACTCATATTCTCAATTGTAACTGCGTCAAAATCGCGGAATAAATTCAATATAACAAAGATGCACTAGAATAATCAAGTCTTAAAAAAAACTAATACACTTCACTATAAATTCATACGTTTTTTTAAAACACAAGAAACTAATGTTTAAATGATCTAGTCTGTACGTGGTCTACACTCGTTCTTAGTAAAAGCCGTTACGCGCTGTTTCGCGTTCATTACGCGTCTCAAAGTGACTAAATGGGAGTAATCTTATCGTTATTATTAATAATAATAATGCTATTCGTTACGTAAGGCAGATTAATGCACAGTAAAAGTTCCTCGAATTGAATTTATTTATCTTTTATAACATTTTCATAATATTTCGAATGCAACTGACAATGAATCGTTGTTGTACTGCGATGAAGAGGTTAAGTTTCCGTCGATACTGATTTTCTCTCTGAGTATACCGAATTTCTTTACCGGCTGATCTATTGCATAGGTATATAGGATAAATTCACACTTGTATTTCACTTGCTGAGAATTTCTCACAAGATAATTAAATAAGTATTAGCCATTGTTTAAATTATGTACAAATTAATGGGATCTAATATTTTTTCACATACATCTATCTTGTTGAATATAATACATATTACATTCTATAAAATATCGTTGAATTATAATATTATTTTATATTATAAAATAAAAAGTATATATGACAAAAACATGAAGAAGAATGTTATTATTATTATTATTATATTATTTATGATGATACTATACGAAAAATTATAAAATAAAAGTGTTACATAAAGTTATATGTTGTATGTATCATGAAAATTTAAAATTATTAAAAAAAGTAGTATATGTATTTTGATATTTTTTTAAGAATTTGAAATAAAAGTAAAATTCTTTATATTAATAGGATTCGCGATACTGGTTTTTAAACCGGTTTGGCTCGTTACTGCGCAAACTACATAGACGCGTCTACAACATTCTACTAACATGAAAAAAAGTAAATAACAAAATGATTTAATTTTTAATTTGAATTTTTATACAAATACTATAATTTAAGTACATACTAATACTTAATTAATAATTCAATACATTGTAAATTAAATTCAAATATTGTAAGTTAAAAAATTAAAAATTTTTTTAAAGATAAAGAAACAAAATATATAGCATTATAAAATTTCATCAATAAATGAGACAAAATTTAATAAGAAATTACAAATTTTTATGTTTTTATTTTTTAGTCGTTATCAATGTTTTCACGGATTTAAAAAATATGGGAGATCAAGCAATTATTCTAAAAGTAACTCTAACACAAACTATCCGACAAGAACATAAAATATAGTTTGAAGTATTCTTTCGTTCCATCGACGGTGGACAGGCGGCGTATGGTTGTCAGAAAGCAACGCGGGATAATCGCATTGCGCAGACCGAAACTAGCAAAAATAACATTTTGCTGCGAGGCCATGAACCATTATACTATGTATAGTTCGTTCAGAGACGTATCGAAGTCATAAATTATTATATCAATCGGTTGTACGATTGTCGCTATAATGATATTTCTTATATCGTCGGAACATTTTTCTAAATTGATTTCATAACCTCTCTATGTCTTTAACAGATATCTAGTGTATATACGTATATTGGAATATAAAGTTTGCCCAAAAAACAATTATCAAGAGTCAGCATATATAATATTTTACGGCAGCATTACAATAATTTACGAAAAATATCGTAACATCGTTGTAGTATCATTTTCTTCAAAAGACGAAAACGAGCGAAGGCGAGCGTGCATTGACGCCGCCCGATACTGGGTGGTAAGTCCATCGGTGCATCGTGGTGCAATCAGTTGTAGCAACAACGATATTATATTGGTAGTGGTGCATCGTTTACGGTAGAGGGGGCGAAAGTATGACGAGAAGAGCAACGAAATGGTTGAAGGGTGGGAGGAAGAAGGAGATTGTTAAGTTATGTTAGTCGATATACGGGTTTGTTTGCGTAGTCAGTGACGGTGTAGGAGAGCGCGCAGCAACTGGGAGAGTAAAACGGCGCATGAAAAGAGAAAAAGAAGAAGAGGGAGGCGAAGTTGCGACCAGGGTGCCAGGGGGTCTGGCCCAAGCCTGTTTGTCGGTCCCGTTGCCCTATAATCGTGGTATACGGATAATGGTTTGGGTTAAGGGGACGTCAGGATGGGCCGTGCTAGAGGGGAACACGAGAGGAAAGGGATCAGAGTAAAGAACGTGTATAGAAGAGCCGGCAGCAGCGGCGTCGAGACAGAGTAGTCTCGAACGTCCTGTACTTTCGTAGACGAAAAGGACGAGCCGACGCACACCCAATCGAGCGAAACTTTCGCTGGCTCGGCTTACCCGTCGTTTGGCAAAGCTTTTCTTCGATCTTGTCCTGTCCAGAGAACCAAGCGATGATTTCTGGCCCAGCTATGGTAGCTTGAAAATGTAATTACCGAGAAAGCCCAGTGGAGAATATTCTGCTGATGCTGGAACACTTGAGGAATAGCTGTTGAAAAATATAATATTTTGCTCGTATTTGGCTGATTCAAATACATTTTTATAAAATTTGAATGATGTATAGTTTTATTATACTGGAAATTAATTAATTCGGTGAAGGATGAATGAGATAATAGATGAAATAATTTTCGTGATTTACATGCTTGCATAAAATTGATTCAGAATCTGGTATGTTATAAGATATATTTGATTCAAGATATTAAACATGTTGGTTAATTTCTATAAAAAAGATTCATAAATTCTCTAGAATTTTGTTTTTAGAAAGTTATGACAGTTATAAAATATGAATCTATTAATTTCAATTTAATTGTTCGAATTGCGTCATAATAAATAATTATATATTTTTTTAAGTTATCAAAAAAATAATGTACGTATGAATCAATTATTATATCATTTATTATATTCAATATATTAGATTAATTTCAATTTATTATTTCATTTCCATTTATAAGTACATTTAATCAATGTACATATAATTATATGAAGAAATAATAAATAATTCAATAAAATGATTAATATTATTAGAATAAAAAACTGCTTTTTATTTAATATCTTTATTAAAATTGCTTTCTGATTCATGAAAATTGTAACAATCATTACCATAAATAATCCATATTACTATTAGTTTTCAGGAAACTAAAGCCACGAGGAAACTTTTTTTACAATTATAATTTTTCCACACATCAATACAAAGTTTTATATTACGAATAAGGCACAAGATGAAAACAACCATGTATGAAAGATAACATCAGAAGAAGTTGTAGCATTGTCCATCATTGTCCAACAGTGAGTTGAATGCTTGTTTAACGCGTGTACGATACGCGAAAGAATTTGCCGCGAGTTGAGAGGGGATTTGCTCGATTGGCTCGATGTTTTCTACATTGACAAACACGGTGCTAGCGCGGGAAGAGGGTTGGATTCGATCGTGAAATTTTTTGGAAGAGTAGAGTTTCATTATCTAAACACATCGTCGTCGAATATATTGACAGGGAGGCGGGAAAAAAAGGGAGGAGGAAAGGGATGATGGGGATGGTGGAGAAGCGGCGGATGGCGTCGGCGACAGCCGGCAGAGCCACGTCGTCGCCGTTGAACGGACGACGACGAAACGACGGGCAGGCTCTCTCGTGCAGACGAAACGTGTGGAGTGAGAGACGGAAAGGGAGAAAGAGACAGCCGGGCGCCGATTCCAGCGACCGGCCGGCGCTAACCTCGACGCCAACCGTGGAACGTCGCCGACACCGTCGCCGCCGCTGGCCGACCCACGACACCACGACGAAGACGACGATGACGACGAGCACGACGACCACGACGACGATGTCGACGACGACCACGACGTCGACCAATGCAAGAATACTTCTTCTGTTGGCATCGTGGCATCGTCACGACGGGGGTGGGACAGTGTGCGTCGGTCGCCAAGCAGGAGGGCGCCCTTCCCTACTCCCAGCCTCCATTCGCATCTCCTTTTGCACACCGACGCACATGTTTGCTTTGGTATTGTTAGCTGAATTTCCCGATCCCGGGATACGTCAATAGCGTGATGTTTTGTTCGGGAATAATTATGAATCCGTGGACTTACGTGGCGAGCGGTGCCAGCGCGTCTTTACTATCTCTAACGGGGGTTCCCTTCGTTCGCCCTCCTCTTTAGAAAAACGGAACGACGATCCCCCATCCTTCCCTTTCGCTCGATCGTAAGAATCGTTTGTTCTGGGGGAATGGCGTTTGGTTTTATGGTTCTTACGGAATTCATGTAATATCGATCAAGCTACGAAAGAAATGTTTTCAAAACCTGTTTACTTCGAAAAGTTTTCCTCCTCGAATCCGTTTACTCGCGATTCCTGGGATAATCGTAAAATAGATCAACGATCGAAATTAAGGCCGTGTCTGTCTGGACGCGTGAAAGGTTATTAGTTTTTTTCGTTTTATCAATCAAAGAAATGCAATAGTGTGATGTATACTGTGATTCATATATGAGGTATTGTTTTTTTGTCCATCTAATGATATTACTATTAGATAAATCTGAAAAGAATTTATTTCTCATTGAATATCTTTTATTAAAGTAATTTCTTATGCATTCTGTATGCATTGAACATGATAAGTAACTTCGTTATAAAAGATAAGAAAAAAAACATAATATAATCGAGACATAATTTGTTAAAAAAACATTACAAGAATATAAAACTTGAACAAATGGCGATTCGAACGGTTGAATTGCCATGAGTACTCCTAGATCCAGCACGATAACTCATTTTTTCGGCGGATAGAGACGGCGCCTGTGTGTATAGAGGATGTTCCCTCCCGGTACCCATGTTTTAACCCATGCCAGCGCCTACCCCCCGGCATATCCACGAAAAGTAGAAGCGAGCCATTGGGGCGGAAGATGACTACGACGGCTCCAGCGAGGGGCGCCAAGTGTTTTGATGCTTGTTATGCGAAGGGGAGCTTGATAAACAACGAGTTGGAGAACGAAGCCGGACCTAGATCGTCACCATCACCTCTTCCACCCACACTCGAAACCGACATCCGACTGACTGGCTACGATTGTGTCATTACAAGAGAATTGATATCACGATACTATAACCGTCCCTTCTTGCTTTTTCCTCTATCGTATATACACGGGAGGAGGGTACAACTCGTAAAGTGGAATCGCTAACGCGCGTTGATTGCTTGGCAACAAATTGAAATCGCCCGGTACCGTTACAAATGTGCAATAATCCGTGGAATCTAAAAGTATCCGGTAGACCTTGTTTCGATTTTCTAAATAAATATTCGATATTATGGATATTGATGAAAATTGATTGAAGGATTATAGGTGACCGTAACAGTTGCAAGAACTAACTAGTAGTTTTGAATAATCGAATTTTTTTAGAAATCTAAAAAATTTAATAAACCATGGAAAAAGATTAAAACATTTTAGCTTTAATCAATTGGATAAATTCTTGAACATCGTGTATATTAATAAGTTTAATATTTTCAATAAAACAAATTTGAAAAGATCAATATTTGCCAGAAAAAGAATAAAAAGTATTAATTATTCTAATTATCAAAAAAAAAAATAGTATGAAATATGAATTTAACATGTAATAAATTATTAATAAGATAAATTTTGAAATTTTGTTTAATTGAATTTCTTTAAAGCTTGTGTGAAAAACTGTTTAATAATTTAATTTTAAAGAGTATGTTAAATATCTAGCACATCAAATAAGAAATAAACGATGAGTTAAGTGAATGATGTTCGAAAATACTTGGATTTTTGGATTATCAAGATTCGTTGGATAATTTATAATGTTGCATTCCAACGCTACGGAATTAGATGCACTAATGATCCTTCCCACACACACACACATACGCATCATTCCGTTTCACCCCATCGCTATCATTATCCGCGTTCCGTTCTTGCGGCCCGCCCAAAACGAAGCATGTATTTAAATGCATGTGCTCGCTAGAAATAGTATTTGACTTTTAACGAAACAAGCAAACATACGTTTAGCATTTATCTGCGTACCTACTTAGCACCAGGAAAAATACGAATACGTAGATTATAGGTTGGTTAACTTGCTCTGTCCGAAAATATAATTCACTTGTCGTTTTAGTAACGAAATAGATGCAAAATGATATGATTTATTTCTAGAAATTCTTTCTTGAATAATTAAAATTATAATTAAAATTATTATGTACATTTTTCAATAATTAAAATTATTGCGATAGTGTATAATTATATGTTTTAATAAGTTTAGCCTTTCCTATTAAAATAAATTGAAATTTATTCTTATTGCTCAATACATTTACATATTTCCTACATATTTTGAATAATAAAATGCAATAATAATAAACAAATAGAAGAAGATATAAAAAATAAACAAGATATAAATTATATGAAAATATATAGGTTATGTAACCTCTCAATAACACGATGTTATATAGGATTAAAAACCAAACATGTTTACTTCATTCTAATGTAAACAAAACATTGAAATACATACACAAATACACACATTTGATTCTTACATGAATTGCTAATAACATCAGTAGTAAAAAATCTTTCATCAGCTAAATAGCATAAACAATTTAAGAGAGGAAACCGGTCATGTTTACGACAACGAAGACTGTCGATTTAACCATGCTTTACGTTTGCGAGGGAAGAACCCCGATTCGGATACGAGTAGAGGAACGGGGGAGGGGGAGGGGAATACTAGCACAAATGACATTGTTTATCTCCAGCTCGGGGCAAGAAAAGTCTCCGTATACGGTTAGTCGTTCGACTTCACTCGGTCAAGCACCTTCGTGTGTACGATTGCCAGCGTGTTCTCCTCGTTGGCCATGCATGCACGTACATCTCCCTCTTATCTAACTATCTCTCTTTTTCTCCGTCTGTCTCCGCCACCCTCGTCTATGCGCCAATAGTACGGTCTCGTACGAACACAAACGAATCGAGAGGGTAGAACACGTATAGGGACGCATACGTGTTCACGGAATGGCGTCAAGATCCGCGTCGCCACGTTACTGGCGCGCCACTGCTGTGTCGCCGCGAATTCGCGCCGGACGAGGCCGCCCTTAGGCAACAGACAGCCACAGGGGTGAGCAGACAGGCTCCAGTCGTCCTCTCTACACTACGCTACATATTGCGCGGTCGTCGGGCTTGCGGCCAGTCGACGTTCGACGATCGACGCAGTCGGTCTTCGATTGTTAATTTCTTGTCTTCGAATCATCCATCATTCTGAACGAATTTCGTTTCACGGATTGTAATTGCGAGAAAAATATTACAGGATGTTGACAAATTCCGGCGGTACGCGCCATTCGAATTTCCCGCGCTACGCGAGAACGCGATATCGTAGTTTGAAGTGCCGATACATGCCAATCCGTTATCGTGGCCTGTTTTGAACAAACTTGGAAAATTTTTACGGCTACGGAGATTCTCTGCAAAGATTCATGGGAGACTTATATTGTTCGGTAATTGATTGAAAGATTAGTTAATATGCTTATTATATGCGATTGATAATTGCTTATTTGAATTTGCTAAAGCGATTCGAGTGCTATCCGACGGCTTCAATTTATGTTACTTTCATGATTTCTTTTCGTTAATTTATCCGTTGATATATAAAAGTAGAAATTAATTTTGTTTCAAAAGATTATTTAAAATATGAAAGATATTGTATAAAAATCTACAAAAGATATGAATTTCATTTTTAAGAAAATTTATTCTATATTTGAAAAATTTTAGAATAAAAATATGAAAAATGAATTAAATAATATTAGATTAAATACCGTATTATTTATAAAGAATAATAAAATAAAAGTCAAATAATATGAATTAAATTAATGAGTTATGTGTATGTATTTCATTTATAAATTAAAATCAAATTGCATTATGTTTTACATTTGGCGCATTGAACTTTAGATTACGGAAGTTGCTCATATAAATTCTAACTTAAATTCTGACACAGCGCATGTGCAACAGTTAACCAATAGCAGAAGGTTATCGTTGCAACAGGTAAGAAATAATGCGTGTAACAACCACGTGGTTATATCTGTCGGAAATATTGTATTTAAAAAAAAAATACAAAAATTATATTAAAAATATATATATTTCAATCGTATCTTTAACTTTTAATCATTTTCATGTAATATAATTAATATATAATATAATTTCTGCATATAATTTTTATTTAATTTATTTTTTATTTCTTAGAATTTAATTTGGTTTCTTATTTTTTTTTTTAATAAAAAATAATCTGTATAAAAGTAAATTAAGAAAAATTAATTATAATCCAATCTAATCGTATTTTTATCTATTCTTCTTCTTTCCTCAAATTTAAAGTTCAATCATTTCTTTTTCTTTTCTTTAAATATTACGTTATTTATATTTCGCATTATGTTATTTATATCCATGATCTACACATGAACGTATACAGATACGTATCAGAACCTTCGACATTATCGTCACGGTAACATTGGCATTGAGCTTCTCTCATCTTGTGTATACAAGGCAAATTCTGATAAATAACGTTGAGAGAAAGCGATTTGTTTTATATAAAACAAATAGTACTTTATGTTTATATGCTTATATTTATTAGACTAACAATGAATTACAACGTCGTGTCGATAAAATTTATTATTGGACGTTAAATTGCACACAATCCAGTCAATAAAGTTCAGGAGTTGTTCGTTTCTAAAAGCTGTACACGTTTGGGAACTCTGATTTGTAACACGACCTTTTCCGCTCGAGCTTTCATTTTGCAAAAGGTCTCCATTGAACAAAGCACCGTTAACATAAA